CGCCACAGCGACCAGTGGCTTCTCGTGAGCACGCCCAGGCAGGGGATCGCCTGCACGACGGCGGCCAGGTCCTCGGACTCGAGGTACGACAACACGTGCAGCAACGGCAAGGCGGGCAGCGACGTCAGACACTGCGCCCGCGACCACGACTGGAACACAATGATATGCATGCGTCCTGTTCAGCCCGTCGTCGTCATCGTCGCCGTCGTCGCCATTCCCGCCATCGGGTTGGTCACCGGAATGAGCTCACCCCTCCGCCCGCAGGCAGATTGCCTTAAGGCAAGGAATTCTTTTTAGAGATGCGATTCGAATGGTTAGCGTATACTTACCTTATCCTCTTGTTGCAGCATCACTGTTGGGTGCCTTCTTTATTGCTAAAGGCAGCTCCAGCACAAATCCTAACCTTAAAATATGCTCAGAAAGGCCTATCTATACACATCAAGTTCGGCTCGGGCAGCGTGCACCAATACAACACAATAAATAAAGCAAATTCTGGGTGTGAAATGCGTCTCGGCTTCAGAACACTGCAGTAACATTCAAGGCCAGAAAAGGTACAAAAAGGCTTCGTTTGCTGCTGTATCGCTTGAACAACGGAGTGCTGTGCTGTGCTTGACTGTAGACCGCGCGAAATCAAACTGTGCGGTGGACAACTCGAACTCGAAGCGCACTCCCGCGAGCGCGAACCGAGCCACGGTATGGAAAATTTATACGCACCAACGAGGAAATTTAAGCTATTATTCACCTATGAGCCTGAGCCACGCAAAGTCCGGATAAAGCTCTGCCTGTGGCCGTGTCGGTTCTAGCTGCAACTGTGCAGCTACAAACGATAACAGCCAAAGCCGCAGGTCCAATCAGCCAAACCTTCTGCGCTGCCTCACACACCAGCGACAGTTTTTTTAAACACGTGCGCCTAAAATCGAAAATGGTCATTTTGTTAAGCTGCCGGATGGGGCGGCCGGTAGCTTTCCTCGCAGCAGCACCCCTCCTTTCCCCATTGATTAGAGCGAGGCGCGAGGACAAATTAACATAAAACAATAATGGCAAAGAATGGCGCTCGTGGGGGCCGTTTGTGTGAGTGCACATGGCGGTGAGAGATCCAAACTTGCCGCCTGCTTGGCGCTTCCCTGTTCCGCCCTGCCCCAAACTCCTTCTACTCCTCTCCAGCTCGAGTCAGGGGAGAGGGAGAGAGAGAGGGCAGGCCGTTGTTAATTTGAATTAGTACAAGCTCTTCACGGTCGCGGGCCCGACACCTCCCGACGGCCTGCCTCCGGGGTGGAGCGGCAGGGAGCGGCGGCGGCTCGGGTCGGATACGGACCAATAAAGAGGCCACACGGAACACAACGGCAGATAAAATAGAGCGGGCCGGGCACACGGTCCAGGTGGGGGAAAAGGGGAGGAGACAATCGGAGGGCGTGCTGCGCTGCTGCTGCGGTACGTGGACAGGACGGCGTTAACTCATCATTTACCGACGCACCGGTCGCTGGACGTGAGCCGGGGCGAGGGAAAGGGGGAGAGAGAGTAACTGGGGGGCTGAATGTAGAGAAAGGAGAGAGAGATGGGAGGGGGGAAGAGGGAAAGGGGCGATGCGTCAGCAGTGGCCATAGCAGCGCGCAGACCGCCCGGGCGAGAGAGAGCGAAAAGGGGCGAGGTTTTTATGAGGAGCCCTAAGCTGCCGACTTATTCCCCGCTAAAGGTCTCCCCTCCCCTCCCCCCATCCCTCAGCCCCTTCTGGAGCCTCCCCGTCCACGGCCTGCCCCCGCCTGCTGCTGCCTGCCCTGCAAAACGTCAACAACGACCATATTCCCTCGCTAGCACTTGTACTGCTGGCCGAGGTATGTACTGGCGCCTCGTGTTAGAGAGTGGAGAGCGCATGTGTGTGTGTATGTGTTGGCGGTCAGCCCGACCGGCCTGCAACAAAAAAGGATTTGGCCCAGGAGTCGCAGCTCACATCGTGTGGTGCGCTGCTGCATGCCCCGACGGGGCGCGGGGGCGGGGGCGGTGTCGCCGCGTCAGACGTCGCGGACGCCATCCCGTTGGCAGTCACGGTGCTGCCACGCTGCCCCGTTCCATCCCGGCATCCAAATGTGCTTCCCTTGTAACGAAGCTAATTATTAAACAGCGGTGTGGGGCTGGGGCTCCTCCTCCTCCCCGCCCACCCGCCGCACCTCCCTCCCGCGCGCAGGGGCTGAACTGGAGGCTGGAGAGAGGGCTAAGCGAAGGGCTTAGCGTACGCATAAGGGCGGCGCGCCCGGACTACTGGGGGCTCGGAGGGTCCAGGACGGTCAGGCCGATGTCTGATGGTGTGCGTCCCCCTCTCTTGGGGACGGCGGACAGGGTTCACCTCTTCCCCTCATTCATTTATAATTTTCATTTGTTTTCGCGCGCGTTGTATATTTTCCCTTTGCGGCGTTGCCGGCGAATACTAACCATATATCTAGATGGGTAGCTGCCGTTACTTGTACCAGCGGGGCAGCACAGCAAAGGCCTAGGGCCTTTCTCTTGACCACCCACCACCCCCTTTCCCTCCCTAGTTGGGCTCCGCTCCCCGCCGCTCCCCCACCACGCCCCGCCACGCCCCGCCGCGCGCCCGGCCCAGGAC